TGGGGCCAATCTGAAATAGTCATATTCTACTTTTTTTTCGGATGCTGGTATTAAATATTTGCACTGTGTCCCTTCTCTATACAGCAACCCTCTGTAAGTCTTGATTGTTCAGGGATGGTAATTAGGGATATCTTTCCAACCACATACATGGTAGGTAAGAAGATCATAGAACTCTAGAATGGTTTGGGTTGGAACGGACCTTAAAGCTCATTCCATTCCAGCCCCCTGCCATGGGCAGGGACACCTTCCACTAGACCAGGTTGCTCCAAGCCCTGTACAAGCTGGCCTTGAACACTGCCAGGGATGGGGCAGCCACAGCTTCTCTGGGCAACCTGTGCCAGTGCCTCACCATCCTCACAGGGAAGAACTTCTGCCCAAAATCTCATCTCAATCTCCCCTCTGTCAGGTTAAAGCCATTTCCCCTTGTCGTGTCCCTACAGGCCCTTGTCAGAAGTCCCTCTCTGGCTTTTTGCAGCTCCTTTAGGAACTGAAGCTACTCTAAGGTCTCCCCTTAAGGAGCCTTCCCTTCTCCAGCTCTCTCAGCCTGTCTCCAGAGCAGAGCTGCTCCAGCCTTGGAGCATCTCTGTGGCCTCCAGTGGACTTGCTCCAACAGCTCCATGTCCCTCTTGTGTTGTTGCCCCAGAGCTGGATGCAGGACTGGGTGTGGGGAGGGTATCTCACAAGATCCATATGATTCCTCCAGCTTGACCCCTGGCTCATGGAAGCTTGGTCATTAATATCTGCAGATTCATTGAGGAAGGGAGCTCAGCTTCCCACAAAGACTTATTTGTGGTGGCATTTCTAACTGAGGAAGAGCCAAATGACGCAGCACATCAGTAATTTTCTTAGCAAGGCTGCAAGCAGTCTCTCACGTCTTGGGAGAGAGATGTAGCGTGCAGGAATTAAATGTGTGAGGTTTCTTGAGCTGAGCAGGATTTTAACTGTAGTGCTACAGCTATTGCAGTTTTCAGGTGTATTACATAGCTCAGACTTAGAGAGCTGGAGGTATATGAGACAAGGGCATGTGCTGTAGGTAGGATTGTGGTGTGCAGCCTTGGAGAGATCTTGGTTTGGTGGAAATCCTGACTCATCTTGGTCTTTTTCTCTCCTACCATAGGCATGAGCACTGTCCCAGAAGTAATTGTAGCCAGGCACTGCGGCCTCCGAGTCCTTGGGATATCCCTCATCACCAATAAAGTGGTGATGAGCTACAACAGCCAAGAGAAAGCCAACCATGAGGAAGTCCTGAGCATCTCGGTGGTCCGGGCTGAAGCCTTGCAGAAACTGGTCACACGCCTCCTTGGCAAACTGGGGGAAAGCACAAACCCTCTGTGACCTCTAGCCTTTTGTCACCTGTATCCTAATGTCTGAACACTAGCAAATGCTGGGGAGAGCTGTTGGTGAGACTGTTGTCTGATATTGAATAGACCTGTTGATCTTTGTCCCTGTGCTTTAACTGCTCAGGTGCAGAGGTTTGCTCTGCAATCCCCTTGTTAGTAGCCGGTGGCCAAAATGGCTTTCTGGGACTTAAACAGAGTTGGACCTCTGGCAGATTCCCAAACCCACGTCAGTAATGAGCCCCTTGGTGCTGTGAGCTCCAGCTCCCCATCATTCTGCTGCAGAGCTGTTTAGTGTTTCTTCCCCATGGTACTGCCTCTCTCAGTGCAGCATCCTCCTGCCCTGAGTGTTTGCTCCCCCTATGCCATGGCTAGGTTGAGGGCTGGTCACAGGGCTTGGTGCCTGCTGGGCATGTTTTGGTAGGGCCTGATGTAGAGCCAGTGGAAGACTACAAAAAGACTGAGCTTTGGGTGAGGACCTGGGTACAAGCCATGCTGCAGAGCAGGTGAAGGATGCCGGAGAGGGATTCTTCCATCAGGGACTGCAGCGACAGGACAAGGGGTAATGGGTTTAAACTTAAACAAGGGAAGTTCAGGTTAGATATAAGGAAGAAGTTCCTTACTGTGAGGGTGGTGAGACCCTGGCATGGGTTGCCCAAAGAAGTGGTAAGTGCCCCATCCTGGCAGTGTTCGAGGCCAGGCTGGGCAGAGCCTTGGGAGATGTGGTCCAGTGTGAGGCATCCCTGCCCCTGGCAGGGGTTTGGAACTAGATGATCTCAAGGTCCTTTCCAGACCAAAGCATTCAATGATTCTGTGATTGCAGATGATTTTTCCAGTTTGGGAAAACACTGCATGCCCATGTGTGGGGTGGTGTTCCCTTTCCATCCCAGAAGGTCTCCCCCAAAAGCCCTCTCTTTACTTTCTTCTTGGCCCTTCGTGACTGTCATAAGCCTGCTGCCAGCACCCCCTCACACCTCTCTGCTCCATTTCCAGCCTTGTTACCCCTATTTAAAGAAGGTGAAAGTGGCATGACTTATCCATGTACCATGTAAAAGTGGCCAAACTGGAAACAGGATCCAGGTTCAGCTTGGCCTGGTTTTGTTCTTTCAGTTTCTGAATGCCTTGGAGATCAGCAGCTTGGGCCACTTGCTCTGGATACCAGTTACTTTTTGGTGTCTCAAGGCAGAGATCAGTTTGATCCAGTGTTTCATCTTAGCTTTGTCCTGCTGCAGTCCCTGAAGCACCAGCTTTGTGTTGGAACACCAATATTTTGTGGGGTTTAGTGATGTGAAATTACAGTGGGGAATAATTTTGGAACAGGTATGATATCTTTCTGACTATTCTGTTCCACTTACATGAAGAAATTGAGCCTAGCAGTGAGTAAAAGACAAACGGGAGAGGCCACCATGATCCCTTTTACCAGCGTGGTGATGGTCTGTCAAGGAAAGGTGAATAGCACCAGAACAGTGTGTTATTCATTGTTTGCAAAAGGTCAAGCTGAGGTGTGGATGCACCTGGCTGTAAAACAGTGACTGTAATTATTAGGTAACCTTTTTCCGTTTATTTATCTTGGAGCTCTCTGTAAAGCCCATCACTGTCATAGCTAAATGTTTGCAGCTGGCACAGTGGTCTGAACTGAAGACACCTAACTGGTCATGGAAGGCTCCTATCTGCCTTCCTAAATTTAGCTGATCAGTTGTTTACCACTGATACTTGCCCTCCATCACAGCCTTCAGCCTTCCATGGTGTTTCTTCAGCTCCAGGCACAAAAAGACATTGTGGCCTGGTGAGTTTTTTTCCACATGGGTATTTGCTTGAAGCTTATGCTGCAGTTACCAGTGTGAGCTGTTGTATTAACAGTGCAGATGTTGCCTCCAGGAGGAACAGACTTGTGCCATGTGTGTTTTCCATTAAATGGTAGCACTTCAGGTACATGAGAACCCTTGGGTTGGCCACCCTATTCCCTTCTCTTCAGGGCAGGGCTACCTGTGCTCAGACCTGACAACAATCTGCCCAGACTGGTCTTGACGACTTGTGAAGGGGGAGTATTCATTGCCTGTGCTCTACTCACTGGCCAAGTCACTTGGTTGGCAGCTCCTGGCACTTGGAGGAACCCTCTGAGACAGCAGGTCTTTCCATTTGGTGGGTTTGACTGTCAAGACAGTCTCAGGGACCACCGCTTTGGTGGTAATATGCAAAGGGAAAGAAAGTCCAGCTCTTTCTTCCATGAAGCTTTTCAGATCTAGCAGCACTGAAGTGCTCCTCAACAGCAGCTGTGAAAGCAGTGAACTATGAAAAGTGGCAGATATGCAGAGCAAGAAGGAACCACTTCTACCTGCTCCCTTTTCAGACTTGTTCCCAGTATGGGCTTATTACAATGTAGAGAGAGAGCAAATAATTTCCCCTTCCTAGAAGATGGTGCTTCACATTCATTTAATACTTGGTAAATACAGAGTCTCTCAAGTGTGAGTGGAGGGCAGCTGCAAAGCTAGAGAGCAGGCAGAGTAGCTGAGGCTGGGATTTAAGCAGTCTCCATTCATTATCCAGTCAGGCTGGACTGCAATGTGAAGGGAAGCATACAAAACACCTACTCTTGAGCTGATGAGGAGCTCAGCACATGCTTTGGGTCTGCTGGGTCTGCTCCAGCTGTGCCAGAGGCAGAGTGTGAAACCCATACCATGCACTTGTACCCAAATACAACTTAATAACAGCTGAAAACTTGGCCTGAACATTGTCCTGTGATGAAATACATGGCAAATTGGGTCTGATTTAAAAGAAGTATTTTATAAATAGCATTTCGGCTCTTAAACACTTGAGGGCTCTTCTTTCTGCTGTGCAAAGTCAACTTGTACAGCTCAAACTCTGCATGAACATCCTGATTTTATCCCTGTAAATGAAAGGTAAGATACCCTAGGTACTTTGGAAGGGGTCTTGCCATGCTTTAGGGGGAAAGAGAGGTCATCTGGCTTTGGAGATGCTCTTAATCCAACTCTTAAGTGTTTTTTACTGCTAATGTCTTTCAAAATGCTGACATACAGTGATGCCAGGCAGGGAGGGAGAAACTGGGAGGAAATAAAACCTGCTGTGTTCCTGAAACTGTTTTTGTTTGCTGTGCCAATACCAGGGGTTAGGAAGGAAGGAGTTCCTTGGCTATACCCCTGTATCCAACCCCCCATGCTGAAGGGCAGCCCAGAGGGGACCAGTGCTCAAAGCTCAGCATCAGCAGGACCAGCATTTCCCTAGTGCTCTGCACACGTATTTATTACTGATCCCACTAAGCTGAGGAACTCTTGGAAAAAAACCCTGGAGGGCCAAAGGATTACAACTAATACTTCAGCAGCTGAAAGGTGCAATGGACTGTGGTGGTGCAGCAGGTCATCTGTGCTGGAGGCAGGACATGGTTTCTTTGTTCCTATGCCTTTTATTTAGTGCTCTTGATGCTTTCTGGCAGCATCCATGGCTGAAATTAGTAGATTTCAAGACAGCCTCATCTTTCTTTCATTCCTGTATCTGTGCCATTTATCTACTGCTGAAATTCAAGTTGTGGTCATAGCAGTAAGCTGGAAGATGCATAAAAAGCTGAAAAACCTGGGAAATGCAAAAAGAACCCCAAATTGCATGACTGATCCTGGTAATATGGGTGCCAATAAGCTTAGGTGCTGCCTGGTTAGTGAGTGCCACTGATGTAGGCATTCTCTTGCTGCCATACCCATGGCAGGGGGGACCCACAGAAGCCCTGTTGAGTGTGGGCAGAGTTGGCACAGCTCCACCTTCTCTGTCTCACAGCCATGGTTCCTTTTCCTTTCTCATCAACCCACAGAAAATTTCTCAGGTCATGGGGTCCTGCTGCTTCCACCCCCTGTAGAAGATGGAGATGTTCTAGTGATGCCTTTCTCAGTGTTTCATATAAAAGGGTGATGGCAAGAGGAGAAACATCTGATCCAACCCTTGGCTGGACAATATCATAGAATTAACCACATTGAAAAAGACCTTTAACATCATCAAGTCCAACTGTTCCCCAGTACTGCCAATGCTACCACTGAACCATGTTGCTAAAGGCCTCATCTACAGTTTGGGAATGCTTCCTCAGATGGGGTGGTGGAGTCCATCTCTGCCTTGGGCAGCCTGTTCCAATGCCTGACCACCCTTTCAGGGAGAAATTGTTCCTAATCTCCAGTGTAAACCTCCCCTGGTGCAACTTGAGGCTGTCTCCTCTTGTCTTATCCCTTGTTATGTAGGAGAAAAGACTGACCCCCACCTCACTACAACATCCTGCCAGGTAGTTGTAGAGAGCAGTAAGGTCCCCCCTGAGCCTCCTTTTCTCCAGACTAAGCACCCCAGTTCCCTCAGCCATGAGTTTTTAAGAAAAGAATCTCTGCTGTTACCTGAGAAACAACCCTGCAATCTCCGTAAAAGATCTGACTGTGGGATCTATCCCATTTCCTTTTCAAGGTTTGGTTTCCCAGGCTCCTTTTTTCATGTTTGCACTCTTTTCTACATAAAAGCAAACCAGAAAGCTTTTAAAAACTGTGTTATCTTTCTCAGCTCAGCAGCTGAACGTAGGCTGAGCTTCAACTAACCAAAATTCCCTTAGAGGTTTTTCTTTACTGAAAACCTGGTGTTTCTGCTGTGGTGGTGGGATAGTTTGGGTTTGGGTTGGTTTTGGGTTTGTTTTTTTTTTTGTCCTTTTCGAAAGCTTTAAGTTTTCACTGTAGGGATTTCATATGCTGGAAGGAATTAAACTCTTCCCTGCCATGCAGAATAGGCAGAGCAAGGGAGAGAATGCAGGGCACGGCAGTGAGATGGTCTCAGTTTGTTGCTGAATTAAAGCCTGACACTGGAAGCAGTGAAGTAGTCTGTTCTTTCCAAAATCTGATGGTTACTAGCAGCTAGGAAGTAGTTTAAGAGCCAGGACACAAATGAAGGCTGCAGAAAACCATCCAGCCTGTTCTCCAGCAGAGGGGGCATCCCCTCTTCCGGTGGCTGTGCCTGAACACC